ACTAGAAAATAAAAAATAAAATCTTTGGCCTATTCTTCAGTTTTTTCTGTCTTTTCCATGATTTTGTCTGTATTTTTCATGATTTTGTCTATTTTTTTCTCATTTTTGTCTACTTTTTCCTTCATCTCTTGGATAGCCCTGAATATTAGAGATTTGAATTCCCTATCAGGTAATTCCATTGCCTTTTCTTCTACTGGAAGGTCATCTGGTGTTTTATTTTGGACATCTACTGAAACTATCCTGTTCTGTTTTTTTATATGTTTTGATATTGTCTGCTGTCTTTGGGACATTCAGTAATTATTTTCTTTGTTTATTCATTGTAGATTTGTTTGTTTTGTCCTGTTTTTTTGTTTTATTTGGTTATGTCTGAGCAGGCAGGCTGGGCATTCTTTGTTGTTTGCTCGTCTGTGGGCATGATACTTCTCACCACCTTGTCCAATGGGCAGGGCCAGTCATTCAGCTATGGTGCAGCAGGGAAGGTCCAGCAGAGGGGGAGAGGCTGGGATGGGTTGTTTTCAGCACTACTGGGGCTGACAGGGCAGGGTCGGGGGGCAGAGCAGGACAGGTTCACGTAGACCATACCTGTGCCATTCGGGGGTGTGAAGGTCAGTGCATGGTGCAGATAGGAAGGAGAGAGTGGGGAGGATGTGATGTGTGGAGCTAAGTGGATGTGCGAAAGAAGAGAAAGAGGAGAGAGAAACAGAAACCAAAGGAAAAAAATTGCTGAGGGAGACTGCTGTTGGAGTGACACAGATCTGAGGAAGTCATGTACTGGTGGCTTTCTAGCTGAGCGATGTGGCACAGCCCTTCAAGAAGGGACAGATATGACACAAGTAGCTAGGTGCATGGGAGAAAAGAAAGGAAGAAAGGGAGCGAGAGATAAGAAATTAGATTAAAAAAAAAAGAGAGAATGGCACGCACAGCCAGGTGGTTGGTAGAAAGGAAAAGAAGGAAAATAGAGAGAGACAAGAAACTGAGAGAGAGAGGAAAAAAAAGAAAAAGATGCCAGGTAGTTGGGAGGAAGGAAAGGAAGGAAGTTAGAAAGAGATGTGAAACTGGAAAAAAAAGAAAAAAAAAAAAAAAAACCCCAAGGGAACCCACCAGAAGCAGGTCCCCAGCCGAGTGGTGCTGCACAACCTGTCAAGAAGGAGTGAAGATGGAACACAGTGCCAGGTATTTGGGAGAAAGGAAAAGAAGGAAGGTAGAGAGAGACAAGAAACCGAGAAACAAAGAAAAACAAAAAAAAAAAAGAAAAAAAGCCCCAAGGGAGCCCACCAGCGTGATGGCAAGGACCAGCGAAGTGGCTCTCCAGCCAAGCAGTGCCACACAGCCTGTCAAGAAGGAATGGAGATGGCACGTGGAGTAAGGTGTTCCAGAGAAAGTAAAGGAAGTAGGTGAGAGAGAGATATGGAACAAAAAGAAGCCAAAAAAGCAACAACAGCAAGAAAAAAGATGGCACTGAAAGAGCCAGCTGGTGTGGGTGGGGCAAATCCAAGTGGCAAGGAGCTGGTGTCTCCCAGGCTGAGTAAACATGGCCAGCTAGAGAGCAGCAGAGGCTGAGCAGGGGGAGGAAGGATGGGGGGTGGGAAAGTGTGTATCGCTGGTTACCAGGTGCTCTGTCTTCTGCTGGGAGCTCTGTGAAGCTGCCTTCCTGTACTCCTTGTCAACCGTTCGTGGTGGCTGAGGGGTCCAAGATGGTGAATCCGTGCTACATTAGCTGATAGGGGACCTCCACTCTGTAGCTCTCCTCACTCTCTGGTCTCTGTCAGTTTCTCATTCCCTTCTGTGCTTGGTTGAGTTCTTTATCCCTTCATTTGATGTTTAAGGTTTCAGGATTGACGTTTGTCTCTGTTTTACTCAGTTTTTGGGTCCCTGCTGTGGAGGGACAGTGCAGTGCTTCTGTCTATAGCTCCATGTTGACTCCACCCCTCAGTTCTTTCTATCCTCTGGCTGTAAGAGATTGTTGTTGGTGTTGGTTGTTATGGAGTAGGCTCCCAATCATGGTGACCTCAGGTATAACAGAACAAAAGGAGATGGTGGTGGTGGTTGTGGTGGTTGTTTGCGGTTGAGTTGATTTCAATCCATATTGACCCTATGGGACAGAGTAGAACTGCCCCATAGGGTTTCCTAGACTGTAATCTTTATGGGAGCAGGTTGCCAGGTCTTTTCCTCCATGGAGAAGCTAGTGGGTTTGAACCTGACCTTTCACATAACCATTGTTCCACCAGGGCTTCTTAAAAGGAGATTAGAGTCTCTTTACGTGCTGCTAAGGAAGCCCTCTGGCTTTGACACTTTTGTTTATATTGGTGATTAATTACCCTAAGCCTTTCATTGTCTCTCTCCAATGTATCAATGGCCTCCAGTAACAACCATCTGATCTTAAAGTCCTTATAATTGGTGTTTTTCCCCAAATTCTCAAGTGCTTGAGATAGTGCATTTACCACTGTAATTCCTTCCCCTAGTATTCCATCCCATTCACCATCAATGCTACAACCACATGGCAAGTGTTATTAGTGACCCCCTGACCATCAATGATGTGATCCGCAATGAAACTGGCTCCAAAATGTCACATTAGAGTCTGCTTCCTGGAATCACTCCCAGTATCAACTGTTATAGATTGATTTCCCTGGGAAACATTTTGTGACTCTGAGATTTCTATGTGAAGCTTTATTGGAGAGCACTCTCAGGAACAACACATGTGAAGGATGAGGGAGGTACGATTGGGCAGAGAGATAAGTTGGACGTGGTACACTTTCAACAGAGGCCTCAGCTGATCCTCTGGGGGGAACTCCACAGCTATAAACACTCTTCAGTGTTGTCCCACATTTCGGCAAGGGAGCCAGTTCTTTATATCCCTGCACTGAATGGCTGTGGGATGTGGACTGCTCCTGGGAAGGGGTATGACTTGTATCAGGTGGCTCTCTTTAGCTGAGAACAATTCTAGGAGTGAGACTTAGCTACAAGCCATCAGCTTCCAGCACTTCTAGCAGAGAGGAGAATAATGCCTTAGTCTGAGTGGTACACCACTACATCTACTACAAACTCTTTGGAAAATTACCTCTCTGAGTCTTAATTTTACTTTCTAGTAAGTATTACCCACCATCTTAGTTACCTACAGCTGCTATAATGGACATACCATAAGTAGGTGGCTTTAATAAACAGAAATTAATTTTTTCACAGTTTAGGAGGCCAGAAGTCCAAATTTAGGGTGCTGGCTTTAGAGGAAGGCTTTCTCTGTTGGTTCTGGGGGAAGGTCCTTGTTCCTTGGTGATCTTCATGTGGCTTGGCGTCTATCTTCCCCCATCTCTGCTTGCTTGCTTCCTTGCTTAACCTGCTCTTATTATCTCAAAAGGGATTGATTTAAGGCATACCCTACACTAATACTACCTCATTAACATAACAAAGAAGACCCATTCCCAAATAGGATTATAATCACTATAGGAGTTAAGATTTACAACACATAATTTTGGAGCACACAATTCAATCCATAGCACCCACTTCCGGGGATGTTGTAAGATCTAATGAGTTACTGCATGCAAAGAGCTTAGAAAATAATGAAATACCCATTATTAATATGATGATGGTATAAATTACATAGCACATGTTAACTATTATGAATCTGTTTCAGAATTGAGTGTTCACTGACAGGCAGGACTAGTCAGTCAGCCTATCATTTAGTCAGCTGTGATTGAATACCCTTTATGAGGAGAATATAGTATTAAGGCTATATAGAGAAAAGAAAAATTGAAGTTACAATGGCTTCCCTCAAAGAACGTACCGCAAAATATGTTAGACAAGAGAATACACGTTGAAAAAATTTAATCAAAACATAAATTGAATAAAATTATTGTACTTGACTCTTTACATAAATGCTTGACAGACTGGATGATGGCTTGAGCAGTGCCTTGGGGGCTAGGTGAATTTGATCATCACTGTGGCACAGTGGTTAAGAGCTATGGCTGCTAACCAAAAGGTCAGCAGTTCAAATCCACCAGCCGCTCCTTGGAAACCCTATGTAGCAGAAAATAAGTTGGAATTGACTTGACAGCAATGGGTTTTGGTTTTCATAAAGTACATGAGTTTTGAGCAGGGTTTTGAAGGACTAGAAAGATATTATATAAAGGAGATGAAGGCAGTGGGCTTACCAGAAGGAATGACTGTAATAGATAGGAATGAAGAAGGTATCATGGTAGAGAGGGATGAGGACTGATTGGGATTGAGAAGTCGCGGGCTCTGTCCCTAATTACCAAACACGGAGACTCTTTGAGTCACATTTCCTCATCAGCAAATCCAGGCCTAAGGGAACTCTAGCATCCTATCTGGCTCCATAGTCCCATGATTGAATCACTTTTTCATTTCTGTTGATTGTGAAGGCAAACAGATTTGCTTGGTCCAAGTAGAGTCCAAACTGTGGCATTGAAGAAATGACTTCATTCAGGTGAGGGTGATGAGGTGGATGCAGACTCTGGAATCCACAAGGAAGGAATTTAGGATCTACTTAGAGTTTAGGGGTAGATAAATGATATGATTAGTCATCTATGATGTTTTAAAATCCCAGAAAACATATAATAATAGGAAGAAATTATCCATTGATCCCAAGGTGGTGAGGGTCTGGAGCAGTGATGGTGTGTGAGTGCCTTCTAAGATTCATGCTTCTAATCAACACTAGATACCCGATTAACAAAATCTCCTATACTGGGTTAGGTGGGCTGTTGATTTGAATATCTCAGCATTTTTTCAGAAGAAATCAGGCTCACAAAATGAAAGTATCCAATCAGAAGTTTATTATGTAATAATCACACATCTTAACCCCCTCTGCCCTCCACCACACTGCATTTTCCTTATGTATCAAACATTCGTGGGGGCTGGGGTGCAGCCAGACAAGAGAACACGTTGGAAACAAGCAATGTGTATATGCTTCTATATGTTTCAGTGATGCTACAGCAAGGGAATAGAAAACCAGGCACCAGGCTCTGGAACGAAAGACACCTTGTCCAATCTCAGTTGCTTCCTCGGCGCCGCCTGAAGTAGCGATTATAGGCAGCATTGTATCCATAAACCATGGCATAGCGTTCGCAAAGCTTGAAGTCCTCGCAGGCTTCTCGGTTAATCTCGTGGGCAGGCTTGGAGCGTTCTCGAATCCTAGGAAGTGGAAAAAGGGAAAGGCCAAAATAGAGACACATAAAGAGAAAGGAGAAACAAGAAAAAGTTAAAAAAAAAAAAGAAAAGAACATGAAAAGATTGACGAGAACACCCCCACCAAAACAAAACAAAACATTAAATAAGAGATATTTGAAGAAAGGAGTAAAAGTAGAACAGGAGGGAATTTTTTTTTGTTTTAAATGAAAACAGAGGTTTTCTTTCCACCTTCCTCCCCTTCTCTTGTCTAGTTGTTCACAAAATAGTATTCCAAAAATTCAGTTGTTTTCTATATATTGTTTTTAAATTCTTTGATGTTAGGATACAATTGGAAATAATACAGATGAGGAAAAGCCTGTTTCTTACGTCATTCAGATCACAGATGTTACACTGGAGAAAAATTACCTCGCCCATCAAATTTTGTTACCCACCTTTCCTGGACTTTAGCTCTCCATATATTCTGTGGGGATATAAAGCTGTTAGCGTTTCTCCTGTTTAAGAAGGGACCTTCAAACAGAAAATGAAGATACGCAGTTTTAGGGAAACAGTAGCTGAAAATATTTCCATGAATATTCTCTGACATAAATATACTTCAAGGCTCATTTCTTCATGCATCACACAGAACCCAGAGAGCTGTGAAAATCAAAGGCGGAGGATAAGGCAGATTTCATAAACTGCCTAATGAAAAGAAATCAATAACCCTCATATGTCTTAGAGACTTGTCACGTGGGCCACAGCATTTTTTCTATCTTGTTTTGCTTTCCGGCAATCGTTTTGCCTTTCTCAGTTTTGCTGTTCCTACTTGGTGTTTTGTTAATGCCTTTGAGGAGAAATTCTATCTGTCCCCAGAATTTGTAAAGCAAAACTTTAGATTGTCAGTGAATGAGCAGTTTAAATATTATAAAAAATAATGTATGAGTTAAAAATGAGAGTAAATGTTATTTTTGCCTTCACTTAGTCTCTGTAAGTCCAAATAGTCAATAGCATTTGACATAATGTGGCCTACTAGCTGATTCGGCCTCCAGGGCTGTATTTTGCCATTTGTCATTACTCCTTGTTTTCTATCTGCATGATTGATGTGGTGTCAAATTAAAATTTCCAAAATATTTTATGTACATGGAATGCAGTTTAAATGTTATATTACACTATTATCAAGCTTAAACAGTTTCTTGTTTGGTGATTTTTATAGTTATCGGACTTTTAAATTTACTTTAATTTTCCCAAAGAGGCCTCTTTTTCCTCCTTGTTATGTGGCTTATCATTTTGTTTCTATGGAAACGGGGAGAGATTCTTTAATGCATGAGATTTAAATACGGAAGACAAATATTCACTTACTGATTTCATAGGATTCCAAGCTTTCATGAGATTCTGGAATTAAAAAGAAGATTCATTTTATTGTTACATATCGCACACTACATTTGTCTAAATATAGGAGAGGAAGGAGAGGGAAGAGTCAAGAAGATGTGAGGAACGTATTTACCAGTGTTGTTATTGCAAATTTCAGGAATTTAGGATTTACAAGTTGTTTTCCTAGCTCTGCCCTTGCTAGGGAAGTCTCTACACTTCAGTTTATCAGATGTCAAAGGAGCTAGTGGCCAGTCTCGGCTAAAATTTCCCAAGGGCTATGAGGTCTTCAGACTAGTGAAAAAAGACAATTTAAGTGCGGCACAGAAGTACCCAGAGAGAGAGAGAGAGAGCCTTCTTTGATTCATCTGGGGCAAAGGTACAGGAGGGTCCAGAAAACAGCCAGGTTTTCCAGGCAGGCTGGGCAGTTGCTCAGCTGGGCGTTAACAGGACAGGTTTCTAAGAGGCTCCAAAAGCCTCTTAAGAACCTGTGTTAAACTGGCAGCCACAGAAACCTCTTGCTCCAGCTGAACGACTCGCACTGGGCACGGTGCCAGTTCAGAAAGCAAACCGAGACAATTTCCAAGCAAACGTTTTCCTCTTTCTATCACTCTTCTGGGCGTAGCAGGTAAATTTAAGAATAAGAGACTTAAACATTTGTACGCAAGTGAATTTACCTGAGAAGTTTAAAAAGGGGGTGAAGACATCAAATCCTCTGATACAGAAATTTTGTGAATAATTTCAAAAGTAAGGAGTGTAAGACATTTGGTTGTTAATATCATTTAGGCTTAAAAACAACTAAAATATTTGGATTATTGAAGCATAAGGCCGATTTATTTAAAGAATTTTCCTTCAGATTTTCTTTCATAAGCTTCTAACAGACCCAGATATTGAACAACACCTAGAAAAAGGCAATAGAAGTCATTCAATCTGTTTTTCTCTGAAATTAGTTAAATGTAGAAGAAGTTCACCTTCAAATTAACTCAACAAATGCGGTAAGTTCAAGAGATTGTCCTGTCCCTAAAGAGGCTGTACTTAACACTTCACATAAAAACTGATTTTCTTAATGGTAACTCATTTAACCTACCTTCAAACAATTGACACCAAGTCAAAACGAACGTCCTTAAAAATGAGAATGCAGGGGCTGGGAATTTGGACATCTTTTTGAAAATATCTAAGTTCCCAGGTGTATATCCATTCACTCTGAGTGACTTACCATTGAAAGAACTTGGTTTACAAGCATCTGGATATTTAGGATGTAAAAAGACTTGATGGAAATATCAGTGTCCACGGGAACTGAGAACTGTTAAATTAATGCCATTCTAAGATTATAGCAGAGAGAGGAAAAAGGAGGAAAAAGGGGGAGGAAAAACCAAAATAAACTGAAGTCAGAGGTGGAAAAGCAAATCCGAGAAATGGGAGGGAGAAAGGTTCCTCACCGTAACACAAAACCGCCCCGGCGAAGGCAGCCAGAATGGAGAGAAGGAGCAGGCTCTTCATGGTCTCTGTGGTGGTTGTCCCGAGGGTAGTCTCAGTGTCCTGGCAGCAGTAGGGACAGAGGTCCTACAGGCTGTTAGAAAAGGCTGTGGAGCTTTTATAAGACGTAGAGCAGCTGGAAGGGGAGGAACCAGTGGGAGGGGGCTTGAGAAGGTGGGGGCTAGTTGGCACTAAACTAGCACTGGGACTTTTCCCAAAGACTCGTTCTTTCCAGATATTATCTCCTCCGCGTGGGCAGTTTTCCCTCACTCCTAGGTGTGATCTCTGCTGCAGCAGGATGCTGTCCTGGTACAGAAGTTGTGGCCACCCCAGGATGGAGGCCAGACCTGGGCAAAAGTTCACAGAGAAGGGAGCTGCCTTTCTAATTCCTTCTCTGGTCTACCCTCCCGGTTCTGACCGCGAGCCTTTCGGGTTTGGTCCACAGACAGAGCCGTACTGTTTTCCTTGTTTCCCTGATGGGTGGGTTTGAAGTTCTAGGGGAGAAAGGGCATTTTACATTTCACTTTCTGTGCTGGTTAGAACTTAGCCTCATCTTCCCAGTAGGGCTGAAATATAAATCCTGGGCCAATCAGGCACTCACCTGCTGATACACACCTTTTGCATTTTCCCAAGTGCTCCTGAGGGTAAAGATGTCCGGCGACCCCCAGAGTTCTGCCTCCTCACCTGGCTCCGTTATAACTTGCCCATCCAGTTTTGCAAACTGAGTCCAAACCTGTGCCCTTATGCTCTTTTAGGCTGGGTATCACTGATCTAAAGTGCAGCAAAAATAAGGGGGCTCTAAGCTCTCATTTGCCAAATGCAACGTCTTACGAATCAACTAATTCAACAGGCTTTTAGTGAGTGGCAGATGAGATGCAAGGCACTCTGCTAGGTGCCATGGGGGAGCAAGAGACAAATAAGACATGTCCCTAAGAGGTAAATAATAGCTATTTGCTATTCACTTGGAGCCCTGGTGGTTCAGTGGTTAAAGTGCTCGGCTGTGAACGAGAAGGTCAGCGCTTGAATCCACCAGCCACTCCACAGAAGAAAGATGTCGCAGTGTGCTTCAGTAAAGATTACAGCCTTGGAAACCCTATGGGACAGTTGTACTCTATCCTATAGGGTTGCTATGGGTCAAAATTGCCTGGATGGTGATGGGTTTTGTTTTTGTTTGCCATTCACTTTGCTCTGCAGTGGTAACGCATCCTCAAACACAGATTTTCACAATGTGCACCTCTACTAGACCTTCAGTACCAGAGATGCTATTTTTATTTTTATAGTATTTCCAATTGGTAGCTCTGATTACTGTGTAGAGAGAGGTCTTTTTGTTCTGCCTCTTAGAAAATTAGAAAACTTTTTCTACTGGTTGCTGTGTCTCTGTTGTCTAGGTATCCAAGAGTCTTCTCTGCCGGCAAACTGACTGCAGTCTCAGTGTGGGAGACTGCAGAAGAGCTATGCTTCAGAACCTCTGACCCTTGGGCTACCCATTGCCATCGAGTTGGACCTCAACTCATGGCAACCCTACGTGTTACAGAGTAGAGCTGCTCCATAGGGTCTTCTTGGTAGCAGTTCACCAGACCTTTCTTCCATGGCACTACTGGATGGTTTCAAACTGCCAACCTTTTGGTTAGTAGTCAAGCGCAAACCGTTGGCGCCACCCAGAGACCTTGACCATTGGGCTAGAACAACAAAAAGGCTTGAGTGGTGGTGGGTGGATGTACTTACCATACTGATTTATTTCAAGGAGCAATGATGAAAAAATAGCTGAGGCCTCTTGCCTCATTCATCTTTTTTTTTTTAAATTTTTTAATTTTACTTTAGATGAAGGTTTACAGAACAAGTAGTTTCTCATTAAACAGTTAGTACATATATTGTTTTATGACATTGGTTACCAACCCACGACATGTCAACACTCTCCCTTCTCAACCTTGGGTTCCCTATTACCAGCTTTCCTGTCCCCTCCGGCCTTCTAGTCCTTGTCCCTGGGCTGTTGTGCCCCATTAGTCTCATTTTGTTTTATGGGGCCATCTAGTCTTTGGCTGAACGGTGAACCTCGGGAGTGACTTCATTACTGAGCTAAAAGGGTGTCCGGGGACCATAGTCTTGGGGTTTCTCCAGTCTCTCTCAGGCCAGTAAGTCTGGTCTTTTTTTGTGAGTTAGAATTTTTTTTCCATATTTTTCTCCAGCTCTGTCCGGGACCCTCTGTTGTGATCCCTGTCAGAGAAGTCAGTGGTGGTAGCCAGGCACCATCTAGTTGTACTGGACTCAGTCTGGTGGAGGCTGTGGTAGTTGTGGTCCACTAGTCCTTAGCACCAATCTTTTCCTTGTATCTTGTTTCCTTCATTCTCCCTTGCTCCCAAAGGGGTGAGACCAGTGGAGTATCTTAGATGGCTGCTCACAGGCTTTTAAGACCCCAGATGCTACTCACCAAGGTAGAATGTAGAACGTTTTCTTTATAAACTATGTTATGCCAGTTGAGCTAGATGTTATCCGAGACTATGGTCCTCACAGCCCTCTGCCCAGTAATTCGCTTCCTCAGGGAGTTTGGATGTGTCTATGCAGCTTCCATGACCTTTTCTTGGACAAGTTGTGCTGGCTTCCCCAGTATTGTGTACTGTCTTACCCTTCACCAATGTTACCACTTATCTATTGTCTATTTAGTATTTCCCCCCACCCCTCCTATGCCTCGTAACCATCAAAGATTGTTTCTTTTTCTGTGTAAACCTTTTCATCAGTTTTTACAATTGAGGTCTCATACAATATTTGTCCTTTTGTGTTTGACTTATTTCACTCAGCACAATGTCCTCCAGTTTCCTCTATGTTATGAGATGCTTCGCAGATTCATCATTGTTCTTTATCGTTGCATAATACTCCATTGTGTGTAGTTTGTTTATCCATTCATCTGTTGCTGGACATCTAGGTTGTTTCCATCTTTTTGCTATTGTGAACAATACTGCCATGAACATGGGTGTGCATGTGTCTATTCATGTGACAGCTCTTATTTCTCTAGGATATATTCCTAGGAGTGGGATTGCTGGATCGTATGGTATTTCTATTTCTAGCTTTCTAAGGAAGTGCCACATCATTTTCCAAAATGGTTGTATCATTTTGTATTTCCATCAGCAGTGCATAAGAGTTCCTATCTACCTGCAGCCTCTCCAACATTTGTTATTTCCAGTTTTTTTGATTCGTGCCAATAATGCTGGGGTGAGATGGTATCTCATTGTGGTTTTGATCTGCATTTCTCTAATGGCCAGTGATGGCAAGCATTTCCTCATGTGTCTGTTAGCTGCTTGAATGCCTTTTTTGGTGAAGTGTCTGTTCATTTCCTTTGCCCATTTTTTAATCAGGTTATTCGTCTTTTTGTTGTAGAGGTGTTAGATTTTCTTGTAGATTTTAGAGATTAGACCTTTGTCTGACTTGTAATGTCCAAAAATTTTTTCCCAGTCTGTAGGTTCTCTTTTTGCTCTTTTGGT